CTTTTCCCCATCCTCTTGCTCAAAGCTGGTATCACAAACACTTCAAGTGCAAAACTTAGAACATGTTTTTTATGCAGGCAAATAATGACTCAATAGGTAGGAAACTGTGTACCTCAAACCTCAGTAACGGTGTGATTTGTTTAACGACTTTGCTCCTAAATTATGGTGTTTGCGCTAAAAGAAGAACTTCAATAAATGCAGCAAAGCCAGCTCCAGAGGCTACAGCACCTATTTATCGCAGCTACTTTGTAAACATTATTTTGTTGACAAAATTAAGAGACGTACGTCATAGACAGACAGATCATAAATTTGTCCAAGATATTTCAAATTAAACTGTCTTCTGTTATCAGCATCTATAAACATAATTGCTTTAGTGTAATAATAAACTCAGATGTTATTTTAAAGATGGGGCAGTCTCACTCTGTATCATGCTCAAGTACTGTAATTTCCTGACTATTGAGTGCACCTCAATATAAGCCACACCCACTAAATAAAAAAATTAAAAATTGTACATATATAGGCTACACTTGTGTATATGGGTGTCCACATTGTAACATGAGATATTTACATAGAAAGATTTTTTAACTTTTAATTAACTACGCACCAGGAACATACACAAATACGCACAGTAAATGTTTTTTTATTTTTTTTATTTTTTCTGAGCAGTACCTGTAACACGGCTGGTTAAAAAAAAAATACATAAGCCTACCAGGAAGTCATTGATCGCTTCATCTTCCTCTTGCGCACTGCGCCCTTGAGCTTGTATTGTCCTCTTCATCACGCAGCTGCCTTTTGAAACCTGTTGGTGGTAGAGGATATTTTTACACTGCTCTGCTGTCAGGATCCAATGGCAGACTTGAGCAAAAGTTTCACATGCGGCCAGTTTTGGTAAACAATTTCTCGCTGCTACTCACCTAAGCCTCCCAGCGAGCTCAAAGGGCCACATTAATGCACGATTCACACTTATTTTGAGTGGCTGCAAATACTTCGTTGTGCCCCCTAGGAAGGGGGAAACAAAGTTTCCCAACTCCCCAGTGGACCAATGAAACCAAGTTTCCACTGTGACCTGTTCGGTAATTTCATTAGTCAGATTTTTTTAACTTTTATATACACAGGTAGTCCCATTGAGTCACGAGGACCCACCCCCTAAGAGAGACATGTACTGGCAGCTAGTGTGATGAGGCTAAATGTTTAGTGTCATGAAGCTCCTTAGCTCATTAAAAACTAAAATAAAATCCATAAATTAACCCCAGCATTGTATAAGCCGCGGGGTTCAAAGCATGTGAGAAAAGTAGCGGTTTATAGTCCAGAAATTACGGTAATTCTTTTTTAAAGGTGAAGCATGAATATTTCAGCAAATAAATGATACATTTCCACTCCCAGTCAAAAGTATTTAGCAGGTAAACTCCAGGGCCTTTTCTAATCAGTGACTTCTTTATCGGAGGACTTTATAGGCAGTTGTGTAAATATGTGTTTTATGTTTACAGCAGGTGTCTGTAAATGTGCCAGTTGAAAGGCCAACCAATTATGGAAGAAAGACTGAAACAGTCCAGCCTCCGCCCGTCTGCCACCTGTGTGTTTGTGTGACCTTTGTGACCTTTTACACAGAGGAGCCGCATCCTTCAGCCTCTCCTGAACCGCAGCACATCAGGGCAAATATAGCTGTGCCCTTGAAAAGCCCTGTGTGATAATCTAAGATTAGTGTGTCTGTGTGTGTGTCTGGAGAGGAAATGAAATTGCGTGCGTAGGTTAGGTAGAAACAGTTGTTTGTCTTTTTGTGACACTTTCATGATCAACACTCAGCAAATCGTGACAGATGATAAATGTTAATCATGTTTTGCTTCTTAATATTTGGATAATTTTGATGATTTATTAGTTCCTCTATTTTGTTATCAGGGATAAGATAAATTCTGCTGTTTTGTCTAATAAAATAAAGTCAGGTCCTGAATCCGTATAGAGGACCTGATTTTATTTTGTTAGGTTTTTCTGCCTGGATTATTGAGCATGCATCAGGGTTAGGGCTGGGTACCTTTCTAAAAAAATCAGTATCGGTATCGGTACCAACTTCGGTGTTGGTTCCCGGACGGTTCTTTTTTCGGTATCAATTTTGTATTTAATATTAATTCTAACAAGAATAAAATTACGTTACACATTACAGTACATATTGTGAGTTTTATTTTTAACTTTGGTATTTTTCTATTCCAAGCAGTTTTCTTTTATAAAAATAAACAAATAATTTCCAGTTCAAAAGACCAGTTTCAAACCAGTGACACGTCAGTGTCTAATGCTCACTGCTACACACTGAGGACCTTTTCGCTTAACAGTTTGTCTTCAGAAACAGCAACATGTCTGCTTTCTCTGGATACAAACAAGCCCGCTCCTGGCTGATGGTGTCTCCAGCAGTAGAAAATGTTCACTCTGAGACTGTAGATGATGATTGTTGCACACACAGATACCTGGTTGTCAGTTTGACAGCACTGACATATTGTCCCTCACATCCCACCAGCAGGTCACTGGATTCACTGAGGTTAGAGTTGATGCAGACTTTTGTACCTCTGTGTCTCTGTCTGAATCTTCTCTGTGGTTCTCTGGGGTTTAGGGCTCTGATCATCTCTCTAATTGACATGAGAACAAAACATCAACAATAACATAGCTGTGTTATTATTGCTCAAAAAAAACATTATCTAGGCTGAGAGATAAAAGTTTAACTGGTCAACAAAATCCTTTACAGCTTAATTTACCTCCACCATGGAGCCTCCACTGTAGAAAAAGGCAGCAAACTTTTAACAACAAAGTTTGTGATTGTCCTGTGACCTCCACCTCGCTTTTCTTTTGTCTGTCTCTGTCCTCACATCTGGGTCAGAACCTCCTGTGAGGAGAACATTAACATTAACACTGAACATTAGGTGAACTGTTTAAGCAGCTGACTGGATGGATGAGCACATTTTTACAAGCTAAGCTTTATCTCCTGATGCATGCTCAATAATCCAGGTAGAAAAATCTAAAAAAGTTAAATCTGGTCCTCTGGAGCTTTATCTGTTACTGTCAATCTTTAGTTAGCTTCTGAGTTTAGCTAGCTAAAATAAATATAAAAATATATAAATAAATTGGGATAAAATAAATTTACACACTAATAGCTTAAAGTTAGCGTTACATGGATTCTAGTTTAATTCACCGCGATGTACATATTAAGCTGCAGCAACGTTAACAAACGTAAACTTACCAGCTGAAACACAGACACAGAGCCATCCTCGGGAGTTCTTTGATGAAGACGAGTCCGGTCGTGGAATGTTGATTGAGTCCATTTAACACACACAGACTGACTAACGCTGGGGGGAGGGGGGGGGGGGCTGCTGTCCGTCTTGTCTTCTTGCAGAAAAACACGGAGCAACTTTCTGCTCGTGTGTTGTCGAAGCCGTTCAACAACACACGCGCTGCACACGTGAACCCCGTCTGTGGGTGTCACCAGCACCATAGACATACATTATACATAGATTAGGTACGGCAGCTCTATACAGCCCTGGGTGTAAACATGTAGTCTGTTTGTCATATGTCTGGTGTTTTACTTGCCTGCTTGCTGAAACCACGTGACACGTTACAGCCAATACCAAAACTTGACACCGAAAAAGAGTGACGTATCAATCCATACACCGACCGGTGCAGTTTGGTGGGTGCCATTTAAGAACCTCGGTTCGGTACTCAGCCCTAATCAGGGTATCTGCTGTTTTGTATTTGTCTTCCTGTATGCTTGTTCAGTTTCAAATGTTTTGATTTCTAAAATAAAAACACTTGGTCATGGGTCTTAATGAAACTTGCATTTGACTGGTAATTCATTCTTCTGTACTGTAAGGAGAATTTTATTCACAAGGAGTTAAAGAATGTGATTTTTGTTATGAATTTTAGTAGGGATGCACAATATTATCGGCATGGTATCGGCCGATATTAGCGATAAAGTTAAATATCGGACATCGACCATTCCACCAAAATAACTCACCGATATAAAAGGCGCTGTTTTTTTTATGTATATTATACATTTATATAGTGTTACATCATTTTCAGCCCCCTTTTTGGCATCTGCATGTGGTAGCAGGCCAAACTGACAAAGACAATGCAGAATAATGCAGTATTTTAATTCCACAGCAGAGGAAGCTATATAGTCTCTGTAAGTAGGTCTAGGGGAAAAATATCGGTATTGGTGTAGGTTATCAGCCAAATAAGTTTTAACACATCGACATATCGGATATTGGCCAAAAATCCAATATCGCGCATCCCTAATTTTTAGAGTCATGCATCATGTTCTTTGTCCCAATCTTTGCATGTTTCAACATGTCCTGCCATAGCCTTTAAATTAATCTTGTAAAGTTTCATTTCAGACTTAACCATATTAAGAAGATATGTAAAAGCTGTCGGCTATATGACATACTGTAGATTTAAATGTTCGTGGGATGACTTTATAAACTGCTGTGAGATTAAGGGGCTCAGGTTTCTTAGCTAAGCATGCAGAAACCCTGCTGAGTTGTTGCCTGTTAAATCAGTGATAGTTCAGACTTTTTCAAGCTGGTTTGTGTGGAGTTTTATGAGCAGTCAATGATTTAATTTAGACAATTGTGATTTTTTTTTTTTGTAAAAATGGATAACGTATAGTGTCTGTAGATCTGTAGATTTAGAGTATGTTATGTCAAGACTCTAATACTTTCACTGGAATTGTATAAATATTAAAGAAGAGCACACAATACATCAAACTATAGTCTTACCTCTTTGCATTACAACCCTTAGTTGATCGTATTTTTAAAAATCTGGGTTGCACTCATTTTTATTTCTTTGCTAAGATAGCTCAGCTATTTTTGATAAATCTAAATCTTTAACCTAATTTTATTTGGGCATTCTTTCTTGGAAATGGGTTTTTAGAAGATGAAAGAACGGAAGCTGACAGAACAGAAATCTGCATGACTTTATAAAAGCCTTGGAGATATGTTCATCTGTGCTTCTCTATCTGTCAGGTGGGAGGGATGAGCAGGAGGGTATCGCTGCTATCCAGAGGATTTGTGAAGAGGACAAGGAAGCCAAAGGTATCACTGTGAACAGATTTCCAACCCACACAGACACACAAATGTTTTGGGCACCAGTGGGCTTTTTTAGCATAGCTGACTTTTTTTTAAAAGGTTAAAGCTTCATTAGTCTATGACTTGGCTTTGCTTTTGCAGCTTTTATTAGGCACACATGCTTGCATAGAAAGAAGCATGTTTGCAGAGCTTTTGTTCAGAATTTACTTAATTGTCCTTGATGCATTATGATGAAGAGAGGGATACAAGGGTTAAAGCTGCAGAAACGGAGGCGGTGTTGAAAAGACTACAACTTCACTGATCCCCATTTATTTAGCATCTCTGCATAGAAGCCCCGAGTGACCTGTAGAGTCAAACTCACAACCTTTTGTCTGAAACCTCTGCTAATCAATGCAGCGTGTGCTGCCACATTAATGAATAAATAAATAAATGACTTGGAGAGGAACAATATTGTTGCGGAGGTGAAAGAACAAGAACATTGTGATAAAAGATAAATGAAAGGTAAAAAGGTAGAAAGAAAGGAGGTAGAAAATGAATAGACACACAGAGGTGGTGATGGAGATAAGAAGGGACAAATGATAGTTGAAATTTATCACTCCATCGACTAAAAGTGTCTAAAACTCCAGTGTTGAGAAATTGAATCGGCTGACCTTCACGCTACCATAAATTCAGCACCGTGGCATGACAAAGAGGCCTCATAGGTTATTATTTTCTGTACTGAACGCTCTTCAGTTTTTACCATCGTAGATGCCAGTCCTTATTTATTTCAGAATTTCTACAGGGATTTGTCTTTAGCAGAATTTTTATTATAGATATAATGGAGTTTTTTTTTTTACCCATTTTTAGAAAAGTGAACATGAAATATGTATAGTTCAGTAATAGAATACTTTCAGTGCATATTTTTCCTTAAAGTAAGTAAGCATGTTAATAGTAGTTGTTATTTTTATAATACAGACGGTTTTTGACGGTTCATTTTTTAAAACATATTTTTGGGCTTTTGCATTGATATGTTTTTTTTTAATGCCTCCTGAGTCTGATTTATTCAGGATTGGTTTAGGTAATTTTTGTTTTTTTCTGCTCTTGTTAAGATGAAATTTAGCCTTAATTCCATGTTTTGCATTTTAGTTTATGATTAAAATTTTAATATTTATTTATTTATTTGTTTGTCCATGTTGCATAGACATAAGATGTTTTACAAAAGTACAATTTAGCTATTTAAGAGAAGAAGAAGAAGAAGAAAAAAGCAAGCTGGGCTTGACAAACCACTTTCTGAATATTCTGGCCTGGTTAGTTTCACAAACACCAAGACAGACTGAAGAGGCATAACTAATTGAATTATCTTAACAACTGCAGTAATAAAAGTCAAACTTACCTGAATGTTTAACATCAACAATGGCAGCTGTTTCAATATTTCAGTATGACTGCTATACCTTTTACTGTTACTGTACAAATTACTTCAATTATGAAAATAATGTTGGTCAGTTACACTGCCAGATTCAATGTAGTTAATGCCTAGTTATAGTTTTTTTACTGTGAGATATGTTTAATATGAGATCATGTTTAAGATCAATGTACAGAAAGACATTTCTGATGGGTGCATCATGAAAACAAACTCCAGGATTAATTATGTCTAATGAAACTAACTGCACATAATAAATTGCCATGACAACTTATATGTTTTTGTTTTTGCGGAACCAATTCAAGAATGAACAACAAAGTCCATGCTCAAGTCAATTCAAGAATAGTTTTGTGAAACAGCTTTCTGTTCTCAGTCCCTGATTACCACACCTGCCAGTTATGTTCAGTTGTTTTCCTGCTGTGTATTGTCGTCCAAAGCATTTCCACAGCTACAGTCAATTCTTAACTAAAAATCATAAAACACAAAGAGCAAAGTTTGTTTTCCATAACCACAGAGCTGCCACAAATCCACAGTTTTATCACGTTAAATATTTGTTCCAGTTCAAGTATCTTTATTGTCATTCGCATCACGTGGCTCATGAGGTAGAACGAAAATGAGTACTTAGGGTCCCGGTTACACTTAAAAATAGCAAAAAAAGTATAAAAAGAAACCGTATATAAGGATTCAAGATATACACTAAGATATACACTGAGCAAACGCCAAACAGTACACTTAAAGATCTAAGAAATACGCTAAACACTAATAGTGTAAATAATACGGTGTATTAAGCAGCCACCCTTCACATCACAAAAATGTTCTTAAGCATTCTTCAAATGTTTGATCTTTTCTATCATGTGTTCCAAATGTATGTAGAGGGTTACAGTGAAGAGACAGTTTATCCCCACAAATGCAAATCCACAAATCTACAGAGTTTGTTCTGCTATTATTATTATGAATGGAGAGAATGAAAGGGAAATAAGAGTAGATGTCATAGAAAATGTGGAATATAAAGTGGGAAAGATTAGTGAGGATGAAGCTCATAAAGCTTTGAAACGAATGAAGAAGAGGAGTCAGATGAACCTCATGACATATCAGTGGAGGTATGGGAATGTCTAGGAGGCAGTGAGGTTTATGACTCAATTATTTATTGGCATTTTCGAGAGTGAGAAAATCCCTGAAGAAAGTAAGAAAAGTGTGCTGGTGCCCATATATAAAAACAAGGGTGATGCACAGAGTTGGAGCAACTACAGAGGGAATACATTGATGAGCCACACGATGAAGATCTGGGAGAGAATTGTGGAAGCAAAACTTAGACAATAGGTGACTATCTGTGAGCAGCAGTATGGTTTCATGTCAAGAGAGAGCACCACAGACACCATCTTTGCTTTGAGGATGCTGATGGAGAATTACAGAGAGAGTCAGAAAGAACTCCATTGTGTCTTTGTGGAGTTAGAAAAAGCATATGACAGGGTGCCGAGGGAGGAGGTGTGGTATTGCATGAGGAAATCTGGAGTGGCAGAGAAGTATGTTAGACTGGTACAGGGCATGTATGAGGACAACAGGACTGTGGTGAGATGTGCTGTAGGAGTGACAGCTTCTAAGTAAGTGGAAGTTGGATTGCATCAAGGATCGGCTCTGAGCCCCTTCTTGTTTGCTTTGATGATGAACCGACTAACAGATGAGGTCAGGCAGGAATCCCCGTGGATTATGATGTTTGCAGATGACATTGTGAACTGTGGTGAGGAAAGGGAACAGGTGGGAAAGAACTTGTAGATGTGGAAGTATGCACTTGAAAGAAGAGGAATGAAAGTTAGCCGTACTAAGACAGAGTACATGTGTGTGAATGAGAGGGAGGCTGGTGGAACAGTGAGGCTACAAGGAGCAGAGGTCACAAGTACTTGGGGTCCACTGTTCAGAAAAACAAAGTGTGGTAAAGAGGTGAAGAAGAGAGTCCAGGCAGGAATGGAGTGGATGGAAAAACTTTTGTGTGATTTGTGTCAACATGGTGGCAGCAAATATCAAATGAAAGGTTTACAAGAGAGCATTGACACCAACTAAGTTGCATGGTTTGGAGACAGTGGAACTGACCGAAAGACAAGGAGAAAGAACTGGAAATAGCAGAAATGAAGATGTTGAGGTTAGGAGAGACAAGGATGGATAAGATTAGGAATGAGATCATCAGAGGTACAGCACAGGTTGAACAACTGGGAGATAAAGTTAGAGAGGCCAGACTGAGATGGTTTGGGCATGTCCAGAGGAGGGACAGTGGGTATATTG